CCGCTGGCCTCAGCCACCGTGCACGTGCGCTCTCTGGAAAACCCTGATTTAAGCCAAATGTTTTGACTTGCCCTACAACTGCACACAATTTGGGGGCTGTCGGGTGGTGGTAAGAGCCCAAGTGCGCCCGGCTGCGAATTACCCGGGCTGTCTCTTCTGGAAGTATGGCCCGGGTTATTTTATTTTCTTTTTTAAGCTTGCATCAAAATAAGTACGTGTGCTTGCAATTTGCCAAGGGAAAGCACAGCCCTTTTATTTATTTAATTAATTTTTTTTTGGTCGAATCATTAAATAGCTGTCACGTTATGATAGGAACAGATATTCCCGTGAAATGTAAAGCTGGTAATGGCCAACTTTTTCAAGCTTTCGATGGTTTAATGAAGAGTTTATGGAGCACTGGGTACCTGTGTTTTCTGTACAAGGCAGAGGACAGAGTTCTTCGGTGCTATGGATACTGTAGTAACCTGGTAGCTAAGGGCCTGTAGCAACTCCTGTGAAGGTAAACAGATGATAATTGAGGAGGGGAACACACGGGCATCATACTTCATGGGTAATGGGGAAATTAGACCATCTGTTACAGAAAGGCTCAGGCTATTTTTTTCTTTTTTAGACCTTAATTTACCTTCATATGTTAGAGTTTGTTGATGTGTATTTAATGGTGGGTGCACCTTTCTCAGTTAACAGTTGAACAGTGTGAATTTAGTGCTAATTACTTAGTAATGGAAATCTTAATCGTCGGCTGATTAAAACTTTAATCTCAAGGTGGCTGAAGGAAATCTGTCTGTACTGATAAGGTACCTTAACTTGTTTTAGAGCCTTTCTGTAAAAAAACAAAAAACAAACAAACCAAACGCTATCTTTAAGGTGTAAGACAAACAAGGTTTACACCATTAAAGAGAAAGTGCCATTCCATTTTATAATAGCTAATTTGGACTACGAGTCATGACAATTCTATCTATCTTCCTTTCTGAAGTTCAGTTAAATGCATTTACAAAAAAATTAAAGATGCTTTCTAATTTAAAATAGAGACACTAGTATCAATACAAATAAACAGAAGTACAAATATCTGAATCCTGTTGTTTACATAAGGGAATATATAGTCATGCTTTTCTTCCACAGTTGAACCATAATGCTAACATATTAAAAGCACAAAATATGGCGTTTGCGGGAGTGTTTGGTGTTCCCCCCCAAAAAAAACTCCAAACTTTCATAAGAAATGAGGTTAGTTTTCAATAATTGGCACAATATAAATGCTTTATCTGCATTCTCTTGGGAATAAACTCTGTGTTCAGGCTCAATGATATAAGTTCATTTTTATGTAAGACTTATAAAAGAGAAACAGATTTTTATTTTGTACTTGTTACTAATCCATAATGTCCTCCAGATAACTCCAGTTCCTATGTTTGCCTTTTGTGTCAGTCCTTTAAGGCATAAGTGGAAGGATTTTGTTATCATGGTCAAGGTGACAACAAATCTTCCTTAGCCCTTACAACTCCTGCAGATCACTGGCCTTGTCTATGCGACTAAGATTTGTAACTATGTAGTTACCTCCCTAAAGACCCACCCTGCAAATTTCCAGGAAAGCTTATGCTGGGAGTTAACACCTTTAACTGGAATGCTTCCAGCTTATATTTGAGAGAGTTGAAGGAAGCATTCTCCAGTTGGTTTCTAGTAGTTGCAAATTTGCAGGCTGAACCTCTTGGAGATTTTATTCTCTTTCATTATATTTTCTTGGGATTTTTGAATTGGCCAATATTTTTTAATGGTTTTGGTTTCAATGACCTATCCAAGAAATATCAAAGATGTATAACTAGAACAGATAAAAGTATTCATTTATTAATGACTCCTATTTCATCTTATATCTAAAATTTTATTGCTCCTTACTTTCAACTTATATGGATATATTCTGTTAAACAGTATCACAATCAATGTCTCTCTGTTCAACTCAAAGGATTTCAAATACATGTAGCAGTTGCATATTGCTCTAGAAATATTTATATATTTTGGAGATTATCAATTGGTTAGTAGGCTGAAAGATAATTTGCAATTTAAACACTTTTTCGAGATCACTTATTCAGCAATAACTGTAGTTAGTGCCTCTGGCTTTAGGCATATGTTGGGATATGCTGAAATTCTAACACTGAAGGAAGAATTTTGTTGCCACCACAGGGACAGTCAGTGCTGGAAAAGCCAAGGCCCTACATCGCAGTTGCTGTAGTTCCACTGTGTTAGACAGAGGAACTACAGGATCAAGTAGTGTGTGTATGGAACTGCTCCGTGCAACAGTGCAGAGCTCCCTACTCCGAGAGTTTGGTCAGCCCTGTTAACAAGGGGCTGGGGCACATTTTGGGGTACTTGTGGCCATTAGAAGCAATAGGGACCAGCAGTTCCTGTGCTAAAGCTTTGCCTTTCTCCTGGCAAAGGCCAATAGCAATGACGGTGCAGTTCCTTGAGCACATTTAATCTCACTGAAGATCTTTGTACCAGGAGCTTTGTGTTTACATTTCTGTCCTGTATGGATGCTAAGGATTGATTGCTTTCTGAACTCCTTTCTAGTATCCCTTTACATTTTTGTTTCAGGATTTTGTGTAATAATCTGTTAAGTATTTTCCTGAATGCTGATTATCTTGGTGGCAATGTTAAGATAACTTGAAGTAGAGTTAAAATGAATTTATGTGAGTGCAGTGCATGTGTTAATCAGATATTTCCAAATTAGTTAGTACCACCAGCACAGCATGTCCACGGTGTTTATTGTACTACAGGTGTTTAATGGGATAAGGACTGTACTAGGCCGTATAGAATCTACAAATGTAGGTTTTTCTTGTTTCACAAACTTTTCCACCTATTAGGGGTGAACGCTGAAGACATTGTAGTTCTACTTCAAACCAATACACTGGAAAAGTTGCTGCTGCCCATTGTCCTGTTTTGTTGCAGCATAGGATTGCTCTTGTTGTAGCATAGGATTGTTTTGTTGATGCATAGGATTGCTCAGTGTTGTCCTTCCTGTCACCATTACTCTCCATTTCATGCTGGCAGCTGGCAGCCCATTACCTGAGCGCTGACTTTGGCCAGCAGTCCATGTTTTCCCTTCGGATTAACAGAGCACAGTCGTTGTTTTCAACCCGTCTGAACCTATTCTTATCTATGTTAGGTATAGCTAGGACAGAGCCACTGATCCTTCAGCATGTCAGTCTGTGTGTCCTCACCACTGTTAAGAAAAATCTTTGTCAGCATGTATGCATTTATGTCCTTGGCCGTGCACCATATTGCATGCCTTTTAATATGGAGACAGCAAGCTGCTGCTGTAGAATTAAGAAAGAATGAAGCGTAAACTTAAATCAGCGTTTCAAAATATTTTATATCAAGTGTAGCATATTCATCCTCGAATTATAGTAGTAAACGTGTTCTTGAGAACTTACACATCTGCTAATTAATTTGAATGAAAATTCATCGAAAATGGTTATTCCAAAAATTTGGCATTGTGCGTTAGAATCACTTTTACTTTTAAATTAACTTGAAAATGTGAAGGTATGGGCTTTTCGGGCTTTTCAGGCTTTTTGTATGTTTTGTGTAATCTCATATAAAAATGGAGTAATGGTATTTTTTGATTGTAAGTTGATTCTGTGGGAAAAAGAAAATAATCTACTTAGAGAATTTCAAACAGAATTAGTCTCTCTCCTAATGAGAGGCCTCTTACGGGCAGCTACAGCTTATAGCTTAAATACTGATTGAGTAAGATATGATATCCTGATGAAAATACACAGTTAAATGTGAATCTTCTTCAGACTATGAGTTATACACCAGTCTGTTTACCAGATATGTTTTCAGATAGGAAAAGAATGGAGTAAATGTTACTTTTCTTGCAAATATCTATTGTGTGTTTGCACCATTTGTACTGAGCAGGAGGAAGGGAAGTGTAATTGAGGAAGCAAAAGGAAGAGGAAAGCTGAAGACATGAGGGAGTGGGATACATCTTCAGGGCAAGGCAGAGGCCAGGAGAAAGGAAAACTGAGGAGCATGTCCCTGCTGTTTTCCAGTGTTTGGATGATAAAAACCAGCTGTATATCAGTTCTAGGCAGCTAACGTGCTTCAGCCTGGTATAAGTAACTCCAGTGTGCTAATAAATTTAGCTATAGAAGTTATATGTCTCTAATTATCTTCAACATCACGATGACTTAATTTAAACATTGCTGACATTCAGAATAAAATAAATCTAATCTATGTAGAAACACACAGCTTGAGCATTCAAAACACATTAACTCTTCTATCTCTTGATAGCATAGTATGTTACTGTTTATAAAGACAAATTTAATATCATTAAGAAGTATATATACCAAAATACTTTAATAATCAGAATTAATGTTTAGCACTCCAGAACAAAACTATAGTTTTTTGACTTATGTTTGGTATGTATTGCTAGATCTTAGCTTGTTAGGGCTAAAGCTTAACTCTGTAACTCTTAGCTTTTGAGGAGCCATAACGTAGGTTTGAATGCTAAATTGTTCTGCATTTCAAATGGCTGACTTATGTTTAACCTTCATGTAATTATTGGTCAGCGATAATCACAATTTGGTAAGTTATATAGCAATGGAAGTCTTGAAGAGTGTTTTTTCTTCATTTTGGCAGAGAAGTGACTATTGATATTTCCACTCTATGCCAGGGCCAAGGAATAAAGTTTGTTAAGGGTTGAATAGGCCAGATAGATAATGCTACTACTGTTTCCAGCAGATGCTAATGCAGTGTTTTATTTTGCACATATATTAATCTTTGCTGCCTCAGTACAGAATGGTGAGGGTAACTATGTCAGTCCTAAAGGTTAATTTCATTCTTTTTTAAGGCATGCCATTATTCTGTTAACCATAATTGCTCTTTTTTGAATGATTAATTTGATCATATGAACTGTTTCTAATTATATTGGTGGCTGGCAATTTCCTGTACTGAGAAATTGTAGCTGTGATCGTATCCCATTTACTCAGTATATATGCCTTGAGAAAAATGCTCACTGACAGGCATTTTCAGAAACATCCACTAATTTTGAGAACTGTTTGGAGACTTTACATAAGATGCCTAGCACTTGTTTTACATTGGCGTTGAGTATGTGCAAATGTAGTTGACAAATGAGGGCTGAAACAACTGGATTTGAGGCATAAGATGAGCAGGCTTGTAAATGCAGGCTGAACTGCTAAATTATCACCTGTGCTGTTTCTGCAGTGAAAACTGAAAGGAGTAGGATGTGTTTCTTGCACATTTTACAGTGTTCTTACACTCTTCTCAAGCTCGACAAGCTCACTCCTGTAAGCTCTATTTGCTCGCTTCAGTTATTGTTAATGAAGCAGAGCGTGCGCTCTGCCAGGCAGTGCAGGGCTGTGTGAGACACTCCTGCCTGGTGAACTAGCCCTGGCAGGGAGCAGAAGGGCTGCTGGGCTGCCTGCAGGACTCACACTGTCAGCAGTTCAACCCTACACACAGCACTGATCCCACCGTGGCAGTT